TAATTCTTAATAGATTATTTTATGGTTCAGCCCCCGGCCAATTTGCAGTCATATAACATCCCTGTGGCAACTACAGTTGTTGCATATATGCAACACAGATATTAGGAGAGTGCTTACATATTTTTAGATATCATCTTTGCGATTTTTCTCTTTCTTTCTTAAAAAAAGTCAACTATTTCTTCCTCCCATCTGTTCAATTTCTGTCATCTACTAGAAATGCTTCTCTGCCACGTGGTCTGTCTCTTCTTTCTGCTCTGCTTTTCTGGACATTCCTCTGCTGGTGATGGCTGCAATACCTGAAGACAGCTCCTGTTTTCTTTTCTATTTCACTTATGTAGTAGCAGCCCATAGTAGAGGTAGCTAGGCTTGCTATTCCTTATGCCTGCCTGGCTTTACAGACTGAACACCTAGCAGCTCTGAACAAGAAAAACCCAGCACAGTGTGACCAACCACCATCAGGAGGTGTTCCACAGGGAGAACAATTGCTACAGAGTATCCCATTGCCAAGTAAATTATACTTCTGGGTGTGGTCCTCATAGTTTTATATGTCATCTACTTCTTTGTAAGAGTGGGTACCTTTTGGAACATTTAGAACCACAAAACAAAGATTCATAGGACAATGATAGTATTATAGGCTAATACAAGTAGCCTTATCGAGATGAAAAGCACAATATAGCCTTCATATAAAAATGGTTTCTCAATACATTTTAAAAAAGACTGACAGCCTCTCCCTGAAATGGCCTGCCAAGTTATTGCTGTGAAAACTGTCTGCACAAGGCATTCTCTCAAGAATTAAGAAGTTTATAAATGTTCAATCAATTTAAAAAATTTCTCTGAATACCCCTTTAGAAAGTATCTAAGTTTATAATTTCTTATCTGTACAAATAGGTCTACAGATTACAAACTCATTGAAAACCCTTTTTTAAAAACCAAATTATAACTAACCTGTCTGATAAGTTAGAAGATTAATATAATTAATTAAAGACAAAAAGATTACCCATACACACTTGGGTCTTAAAACTGGGTCAACTCTACTGGGAATCCTCTGAATTTTACTCAGCTATAATCTTTTACAGGAAGACAAACAGTGACAGTTCTATCAGCATTTTCTTTAAGCCTCATTTTCAAAGGGGCTTAGCATTCAGCAAGGAAGGGCAATCAGTCACAGGCTGAAACCTGGCATTTAAATGCCCAGCTGATTTTTATTTTCTATTCTTTACTGTGCTCATCACCACATCATCTGTCTGCCTTCCATAGGGCAGTAAGCAATGTGAGTCTATATCTGTCACATTTGTGCTCTCCTCCTCTCCCCAAAGAGAGAAGTGTGTGGCGTGTCTTGTCTTGGTAGGGCTTTTTGTGCTGTTCTTGCTTGGGTTTTTTTTATTATTATTATTGATTTCTTCTTTAAATATAGCTGTTGCTATGTGTTTGTTAGAGAAGACAAGGTCAAAGAAATGGGTCTTACACTTGGAATGGAAACAAGTGAGGTCTGTAATGGCCCTTACTTCCTGGGGGAGTTTTGTTCCTCAATTTTTGGACAAGTCCTAGAGAAAGTTCTGTTTCCCACCCAGACAAGCTTTATTCTTATTGAGTTCCACTGTGCCAGATGTGCGAAGCTGTTGACCACGGGTGGCGAGTATCATAGGCTAGGGGAGGCTGTGCTTCCCCAAGCAGCTGTTGTGGCCCTGGCCGTGCTCTGCCCCCAGACCCTCTCCTGCCATTCCCGGTGTTGTACCCTGACCCAGGCTGGCTGGAGCTGGCCAGCATGCCCAGGTATATTTGTATTGCTACAGTCCAGCCAAGAGGTGATGAAGGCATGAATAATAATTATATACCTAATGGGTGGTGTGTGTTCAGTGTGGGGGCAATAGTTTGATAGGGGAATGTCCATTTTCAGGTCCTACAAGGGGTTTTGCTTGTGTGACTTTAAACAGTCAAATGCAAAGAAGTTACTTTTAAAAACTGGCTATTTAGTCGTCAATATCAACTAAGTACTTTAAGTATTTCAAGAAATATAGTAAGTGGCCAAGATATTGAAGATGAAAAATATTTTAGTGACCACATGGTAATTTTATTAGAGGCACCAGTCACAGCTCCACAATTACTTTAGAGTTGAGTTCTGCACTTAAAATAGGGATTCAACCTCTTATCTGTTAAAAATACAGTATATTCTCCCCCAAATTACAGCACTTAATATGGAATTTTCTGGTCATTTAAAAATCTGTTAGTTAATTTTTCCAAACAAACTTTGTAACTCCTAAATAAGGATGTGTTGCATATTCCAACTACATTAAAGGCTAGATCCTGCAAATTATTCAGGAAATCGGTCCTTACTCGGGAGTTTAGTTAGATTAAATTTGTGTAAGGGTTAAGGATCATCTCCTGCCTAGAGGCCCTTCCTTCTTCCATTCAGATAAACAGGGGAAGCTTCTGTTCTCCCGGTCTCCAAACACAAAAACAAGGGGATATTCAATGAAACTGAGAAGTGGCAAAGTCAAAACTGATAAAAGAAATACTTTTTCAAACAAAGCTGTTAGACTAGAACTCACTGCCACAGGATATCATTGAGACCAATAATTTCACAAAAAAATCAAAGAGGGACTGGACACTTGTATAGATAGCAATATCCCAAGTTTTGACAGTTAATGCTAAAAAGATTATTGGAAGGGATAGAAAACCTCATGTTTGAGGGCTTAACCACCCTCCACCTATTAAAGAGTAGGATGAGGCATTCATGGGGGCAGATTATCCCACCTCAGTTTTCTGTGGGATTTCATGCACCTTCCTGAAAACTGACAGGACACTGGACTAGATACACTGTAGGTCTGATCCAATATGACGATTTCTAAGTTCAATGGCAATTTTGTTATTAATTTTAACAGAACCAAAACTGATGGTGGCTCATTAGCCATGATTCCGTTGGTAAATATGCATTCCTTCACAAAACGTATATGTTTTATAATTAAACCCCACTTCCTTGAGTAAACCAAGCATGTATTATAGCTTTCAATTTCTCTTTTTAAAAGAGATGCTAGCAAGAAGTTTAAGTCACCAGATAACTTTCCTTTGCATAAGCATCCAGACTGGTGTAGTTAATTTCTTCCTCTTTTTAAAAGAAAATTACATGACAGAATTAAAAATGGTATTTTATCTAAGTCTAAAAAGGAGAAAAAGAGCTGTAACATATATAAAACCCTCAATTACTTCACACACTTATTTTAGAAAATACAAGAACTAGTAAAGTGTTAGCATTTTTTAAAATAGAAATAGACCATTCCCTACTTAACAGCAAACTAGATTTAGGATGTAATCAATGCTTAATTTGTGCCAGAGCTGCGCCCGGGCACTTCTAGGCTTGGCAGTTCAAAGCCCTGACACTTCTGGGTTTACTATGTCAGTTATGAAAGTAACAAAACTGCTCCGGCCTCGGCACCTCTTTCATTACAAATTAAGCACTGAATCATCTTGATAGCATCTTTTCCTAAACGGAAATGTAAGCAACAGGATATTGTCACATATTTGCAAATGACAGAAAATACACTAGTTTAAGGGTGACAACTCTAAGCACTTTAAAAGTTATTTGATCCCAATAGATCATACTTTGTATGGAGCTCTTGATCCTTATCTAGGGCTCTAGTCAACAGAGGACAAACTGTATTTTCAGGCTTTGGAAGAAAATAGTCTTCTGTGCTTTGGCAATTTCAACACACTTTTACCAATCACGCCTTGAGAGTTCACAAATCATTTTCTGACCTTTCATCAGTTACTGTCACAATTGTAATGCATTTTTTTTTGTAATGATGACTGAAAAAAATCTTGTCTTTTTAGGAGCAAGTCTCAGATTTATACCAAGTATTAAATCACAGAATGCTATTGCAAGTAAGGAAAACTGTTCCCAAGGAGGGTGCTTGTTAGGACACCTCTTCCCACGTGGAGGCACCACAGTGACAATCAACTTCAACTTTCTAGCTTGACACGCCTTAATTGCAGACTAATTCTCGGTGCATATGTTGTAGATTCTTCAGCAAGCAGAAGAGCATTTTAACCGAGGCTTGTTTCCGTCCTTCCGCAACTGTAATGCAGCACCGAGTTCGCTAAAAAGGGTTGTAAAATGATTCCCCAGAGCACTAGTAATTGCATTTGCTTCTGCCTCTTCCTCTCCCCAGAGCCTCACCAGGGACTAGCTCCGCTCACTTCCTACTTCTCCTCGGCTACTAGCAAGTGCGCTCTGACAGTGACAGCCCGAGCCACGTCCCTGATAAAAAGGAAGCCCCTCGCCCTGGAACCATAACCGCCCTGGCGCTCTGCCAGCCAGAGCAGCCTCCCCATCCCACCCCCTCTTCAGCACATCGCAAAGGGGGCCCCGCACCGGACAAATGAAAAGGGAACAAGAAAAACATCGCCCACGTGTCAGAGCCCAGCTCCGTGCCTAGCCCCGAGCCCGAACTCCGAGCTCTGAGTGCGGGCCCGTGTAATGCTAGTGCAGGCGGGGTGCAAGGCGGCTGCTGTTCCTGTGGAGGAGGAGCGCGGCGACGGGCCGCTCCCTTACCTGGTTTGGCTGGTTTAGGTGGCGGCTTGGACATCGCGGCGGCTTGGCTTAGCACAGAGCCGGGAAACCCCTTCCTCCGCCTCCCCGCAAACTGCCCTTGGCCGGTCCCGTCTCCTGCCCGGCGGCGGCGCCCCTCCTCTGCAGCGGGCGCGGGGCTCAAGGCGGAGCGGCGGCGGCTGTCCCAGCAGCGAGTCTCCGGGGCTCGATGAGGAAGTGAGAGGAGCCGGAGCAGCAGCGAGCGCGGCCGCTGGGCGCTGCTCCCTCTAGAGGCGGCTGCGGGACCAGGCGCGAAGCGGGGCTGCAGGGGTGGACCCGGGCGCGCGAGGCAACCAATCTCCGCGCGCGTGGCCCCAGGCGGGCGGCTCCCCCTCCCCTCTCCGACCCTGGCGTGGGCCGGGCGCTTCCTGAGCGCTGGAGCTGGAGCCGGCCAATCCCGACGCTCAGTGGGACAGGACGGGGCGGGCCGAGCAGGCTGCTGCCTATCTCCGCGCGCAAGGGCTCCCGAGCGCTCGTCCTCCGGGGTACGATATAGCCTCTGTGCGGGGGGTGCGTACCCGCTGATGGGGCAGGGCTCCGCGGTGCGTCGGTCCGTGGCGGGGGGAGCGAGTGACCTGGCTTGATAATCGGTGCTTTCGCTGCATAGGCTTGCAGTGCAGTCCACCGGCCTGGGGAAGCGACGACAGAGGCCTCGGCAGCTCAGGTAACGTGGGTCGCCTTGGACCTGTTCATAGGGCCGCGGTGCCACCGATACACCCTAACATCGCATGAAATCCGAGCCACGGCTGCAGCAGCGCCGTTCACTTAGTTCAAATGCACTTGTTACGTATTTTGTAGGGCATATTTGCGCATACTGTCCTTATGCCAGTTAATGGAATCACGCACCGGCTAGTGACTGCTGCAGATGGACACTGCTGCCAAGTTGGCAGATAAAGTTGAAAAGTCCCTCGGAACCTTATTTTTCTGTGCATCTCCTCACACGTGTGTGTGTGTATGTGATTTGCCACTTCAAGTCATTTGTGCAAATGCTTTACATATACCAGTAGTTTGAAGTGGCATAATTAAAAATTGCAGCTGAAAAATTAAGAAATTCAAAATTAAAGTACTAATTCTGTACATCTGTGTTGGGAGGATTGGTGCCTTAATGTTTGGCATTGTAGGCTGCTCATGGTAAGCTTGATGATAACGTTACCATCTGCAATAAGATGGTATATTTGTAAATTTTTTATTTATCCAACTTCTGTTGGCGAAAGAGACAAGCGCTGAAGTTTACACAGAGCTCTACCTCGAAAATGTGTGTCTCACGAACAAAAGTTGGTCCAATAGAAGATACTACCTCACCAACCTTGTGTCTCTGTTATCCTGTGACCAACATGGCTACAATTACACTGCAAACAAAATATTTTACTACCCATTCTTGGTTTCCACTTTTCTTTATTTTTCACACATTCACAAATAAAGTTGCCTGCTTTATTTACTCTGGAATCCTTCCCTTAAATTGTGACTATATTTGATACAGACAGTGACATAAATTAATGAGTTCAAAGTTCTTCAGATGTGTAGATGGTATTTGACTTGTCAGCTAGTGTTTCTTTTTGAGTCAAAGCTTACCTGCACTGAAAAACCTTTATTGATCTTCATTATAAAATATTTGTCATTTGCTAAGGGCTTGTCTACAGTTAAAATGCTACAGTCCATGGCTGCATTACTGCAGTGCTTCTGTGTAGATAGGACCTCCTCCCGTTGGCATAAGTAATCCACTTTCCCAAGAAGTGGTAGCTAGGTTGATGGAATAATCCGGTCTGGGTGAACCCCCAAAGTGTCTCAGTGCCCAAGGAACACTTCTCAGTGTCCAAAAAAATCCTCCAAAAAATTGGAAAGACAAGATCTGAGATTCATGATACTGTAATGTTAAAAATAAATAAAAAATAAAAGCAGAAAAGGAAGTTCCCAGAAGAAACCTTGAAACAAAACAAGACACAAACTCATTTCTCCCCTCTTCCCTAGGTTACTTTTAAGGGCCCAATCTGCAAACACTTTACTATTGCGCTAAGTAGTCCTGTTTTCTGCAATGGGACTGCTCATGATAGTAAGAACTATGCTTGGTAGTAAGCAATTGCAGGGTTGGATCTTAAAGGAGCCCTCATGGTAAGACTGTGAAGACAGCTGAATAAAAGTGGTAAAGGTTGAAAAGCTTTAAAAGGCCTTTTGTGGTAATTGGTATTTTCCTGTGTAGCAGCTGATTTTGTCATTGTACAAACAGGTTTGTTCATTGTTTTTATTTTAAACAGTGGAAAGAAGGAAACTGGATAGAACACAAATTATGAAGGTGTTAGTCATTGGACTTGGAGGGTAAGTGCAAACAAGTACATTTTTGTTTTAACAGAGACTGAAAGATTGCCTCAGACTCCATATTGTGATCTAACAATCCCTGAGTGTGAATATAGCTGTCTTTTTTTTTTTTTAAAGTAATTAAAAACTTAAGCTTAATATTGTATTGTCAATTGTATTTAATTCAGGGGCGTAGCCACAGATGGGCTTGGATGGGCCGTTAGCATCCAGGCCCACCCAAATCTGAGCAGGGGTATAGTGCTGCCACAGTGCCATGGAGCATCACTCTGGCACCTGAAATCCAGGACGGAGCTATGCACCCACCCTTCAGAGCTCCCATAGCTCTGCCTTGCCATTTTCTGAGCTGCCCCATGCGTGTGCCCAGCTCGGCAGGTGAAGCCTTGTGTCTGGGGGTACCAGGGCTAGGAAAAGGGTGTGGCATTGGGGGAGAAGCTGAGCTAGCACAGTCTGTCATTGCCCATCCACCTGAAAGTCAGGGCCCACACAAATTTCCACTCCTACCTATGCCACTGGTTTAATTTTTTGATAACTTTTTCCACCCTCCACCATAGATTGACCCTTTCAGACATCAACTCTAGTTTTCCTCTTTTCCATTGTCATATAAGCTGACTAAAATGATTCATAGATTTCATAGATTCTAGGACTGGAAGGGACCTCGAGAGGTCATCGAGTCCAGTCCCCTGCCCGCATGGCAGGACCAAATACTGTCAAGTATGAGTTAAAAGATAAAATCATCGGACTGGAAGGGACCTCGAGGGCATCTAGTTCAGTCCCCTGCACTCATGGCAGGACTAAGTATTTTCCAAACAAATGTTAGGAAACTGCAAACAGTATTTAATATTCTGAATAAAATTAACTTTTTGTAATTGCCTTTTTGCTAGCGCACATTGCACTCCTATGTTATTCATTATTTTTGTCCTGACACATTGTTTATTCCATTTTCAAAGTCAGTGTGACAAATGGGGGGAAAACAACACTGGCAAAACGACTTAGGAAACAGCTTCCAAACTGCAGTATACTCTCTCAAGATGACTTCTTTAAGGTAACTGAGTTGTATGAAGTCGTTCCATCATAAAAGTAGACTTTAAATGTAGTTCCTGCAAGACTATATTATTTTTTCTTGATCTACCAGTATGTGACAATTTAAAATGAATCCTGTTCATAGAGTCAATATAAACTTATCTGGAAGAGAGGGAAATACAATTAAGAATGCTATAATAATGTTAAAGCTTTCAGTTGCCAAAAAAGATTAGGAACATGACCAACAGAATAATCATCGCACTGCATCCTCTGATATTATATTTAAAAGTTAGTAGAGAAACAGATGCATTTCAGGGAATGCTTCATGCTACTGCAATTCATATTATTTTTGCAGTTTATTTTTAACTCTAGATAGAAAACAACAAATAGAAACAAAATAACAACAAAAAATTAAATATTGTTGCTTGTTTTTTTCATATCTTAAAAAAATGCAAAAGCATAACTGTTTCTGTATCTATATGAGTGAGAAGGGCCTGTTCTTGTTCCTGATGTGGTTATTGTTCTCGAGTGAAACTGTAGTTTATTCAGAAGTTAATATTAAAATCCAGAGATGCTTGTGTTTATATAATATGTAATATATTATCAATATCAATTTCAGTAGATTAGTAAATAATTTTACTTGGATGGTACTATTTCAGGGGGATGAGGGAAAAAATGTATTTTATTTGAAGAGTAATTTTGGGGGACCGTAGTGATACATCAAGATTAAGTTGGGGCGGGCGAGGGCAACACTCCTGCTATGTTGCAATCCACTGTTTATGAAAAACACTGTGGATATTCTACCACTGTCTTCCCCTACTCTACATGCTTCTTTGGCTTCCTGTTTCTCCCCCTGCCCATGTTACATTTTCTGCTTCATATCCTAGCAACCTAAACCTTCCCCCTACGCCATTCACACTGGCCGTCCAACCTTCTACCCATCCCCACCATGAATACTACACAAGTGAATTCAGAGTAATAGGGTTACTATTGCCATTTGACCTGATAACTGCCTATTTTTTTTTCTCTCTAGCCAGAATCTGAAGTAGAGATAGATGAACATGGATTTAAGCAATATGATGGTTAGTAAATTGGGTATATTGCTTGTGAACATTATGTATTGAAATGTCAGCTGTAATTTATTAACTTTAGCTTCTGTTTCTTTTGGATCAGTGCAGTCATCAATAGGGACAGTGTTTTGCTTTGTTTTTTTAAAAAAAAATGGTTAGTGGGGTATGTCTAGCAAAAAAATAAAAAAACGTAATTCGATAGAGGATTTTTTCAGGATGTTGGTTTAACCGTCAGTTTTTTTAAAAGTTCATCATCATTATACTGGACCGTTTAATATAGCATACCTTTATTTGACTATTACACAATACCATTACTATGGAATAGCAATAATATTTTAACTTCCTGCATTTATCACTGATTTTTTATATCTGTCTGTTTTGCAAATTAGCTAGCCCATTCTGTTTCTCCAGAAACAGCTCTCACTTAGCAGAGGATATTATGAACATTTCTTCTGGTGACAGCATGTATCTAAAGTTCTGAGGAGGTGGGTCTCCAGACTGCTTCATCCAGTGCTTTCCTTTTCTAGAGTCTAGTTAAACAGACTGTCTGCAACAGACTGTATTCTCTCTATTCTTGGTCTTCTAAATTATGGTGCATGACACAGCCAACTGTCTGTTGCTTATAGTGAAACCTTGTCAATTTATTAACCTGTCAATATTAAGACTCTTCTGAACAGCATTAGTAATTGTGATTTAAACCTAATGCCAATTATGCCATTTTACAGTGTTAAATGTTTATTTTTGTTTGGTCATTTAGGGCCATATTCTGGCATTCTTACTCATTTTGGGTAGCCTCTTGCTTCACAAGTAGCCCCACTAACTTAATAGGGTTACTTGTGGAGTATGTTGTCAACATGAGTATCAGAATCTGGCCCATAACGAGCAATATTCACCTTAAAATCAAATAATTAAACTATAGATATTAATATCTTATTCTTGTTTGACAGTAACTTAGAGAAAACTGCATTCCAGAGGTGAAATTCTGACCCCCTTGAAGTGATTGGTAGTTATATTTTGATTCCAGGCCAGTAAAATGAAATTAGATGTAATACAGAAAGTTATCTATTAGCAAATAGTGAAATTTAATTTAAATAGTTGTCCCTTTTTCCCCCTTTGTAGAGTTGCACCTCATGACATGTCCTGGGAGGTTCTGAGCACTTCCTGTAACATCCTCAACTCCTGATGTGAAGTCACTGAGAATCCAGGCTGCTTAGCACCTCCCAGAATCAGATCCTAAATCAAGCAAGATCAGATCCAAGTTTCAACCTTTTTCTCATGCAAGAAGTCTCACTGAGTTCAGGACTGTACTACAGACCAAATGTGTTGCAAATTATAACTAAAAATGAGTCCAAATTGCAATTTGAGATCTGGATCTAAACTTTAAATTCTAGGCTAGCCATCAGGCCATCTCTAATTATAAACCTCCAGTTTAATATCCTGCAGCTGATCTAAGATTTCCTTTAATACCTGGCTATTTATAACATTAGCCTAAACCTTTAATTCTGTGTTTACTACCAACATTCATCAGCTATGTAACTTTCAGTTCAACTTTTGAACTTCACTCAGTTTGGACAATGAAACTAGATGAATCAGCTGGACATTCTGGTTCACATGCCCAAATTCAGTGCTGTTGTTTTAAGTTCCAGTAGTAAATGGGAATGTTAACATTTAAATTTCCATTTCTTTTAAATTAACCCTGCTTCTTTTACTTAACACCTACATTTAGATCTTAAACTATTTGACAGGGTTTCTGCTTAACTCAGAAATAATGCAAAAATTAAAAGCCAAAACAAAAACACATTAACTTAACCTTTTATGTCTTTTCTAGTTCTTGATGCCCTTTATATGGAGGAAATGGTGACAAGCATATACTCATGGATGAAAAACCCAACAGGCTCTTCTGTCTCAACAGCAGAATCAAAGAATACACCTGTCAATCTGAAAAGTACAGAAGAAGTTCACATTTTAATAGCTGAAGGTTTTCTTCTGTATAATTATGAGTAAGCAACGCTACCTTACAAATAACTTTAAAATGTCACGTTAATATAAACTGTGAATGGGGGCGTGAATAAGGAAACAAAATGACTAAACATGCTGTCATCTTAGGCCTCTTAATGAAGTATGGGATAGAAGATATTTTCTGACCATTCCATATGAAGAATGCAAGAGGAGACGGAGGTAATGTTTTAAAATTATTGCTCACTGCAGATCACCATGCCCTAGTACCCGTACGATAGAAAGGTTCCTGTATGTCAATGTGTTCTCACACATCTACCAACTGTAACAACTCAGAGCAGAGTCTGCTGACTCTCCTCAGTCCCTTCTTGTGATCTTGCTAGTGCTGAGGTAGTGAGCTTCGCCTTGTTACTATTCCATCCCTGAGGGTAGAGCCTTTGTGGTTCCCAGGGATGTTCAAACAGCATCTATAACCCTCAAATGTATAGATCCATCCCTTGTTTATTATTCATATTGTAGTTGTGCATGGGGACAAGAATCACTGTTCAGACTGCCAATGTACAGACACAAAGAAAAAAGCTCATTGCCCAAGGAACTTAAAATATAGGTTAATTACAATACAGTTGCACTTAAGCATTGTTTAAGAGGGGACAGAAACAAAGTGTTTACTCTTGCAGCTACAAGAAGCTGTGTCACCACAATGCTGTTCAGTGGCAGAGTTGACATGCATTTACATTGCGTATTATTTGAGTTAGATATTGGCCCCTTTCTGCCTTCAGTTACTGTTGCAAATCTGGAGTTACTGTTGCAAATCTGGTGTTGATGACTTTATTCTAGAATGACACAAGTGTAGCTAAGGTCAGAATCTGGTTCACTGATTGCAGAATTCCCATATTCATAATGGCCTATGTTTTGAAAAGTGACTAGTAGATTTTTGGTGCCTTTCTTTCTAGGAGCCCAATTTAAGAGACCTTAAAGGAGTTCAATCATCAAAAGGTGGATACTCAGCGCTTCTGAAAATCAGACCCTCTAAGGCAGTGGTTCTCAATCAGGGGTACGCAGAGGTCTTCCAGGAGGTACATCACCTCATCTAGAGATTTGCCTAGTTGTATAACAGACTACATAAAAAACACTAGTGAAGTCAGTACAAACTAAAATTTCATACAGACAATGACTTGTTTATACTGCTCTGTATACTATACGGTGAAATGTAAGTACAATATTTATATTCCAATTGATGTATTTTATAACGGTTAAAAAGAGAAAGTAAGCAATTTTTCAGTCATAGTGTGCTGTGACACTTTTTTATTGTTTTATGTCTGATTTTGTAAGCAAGTCCAAGTTGTCTTTAAGTGAGGTGAAATTTGGGGTATGCAAGACAAATCAGATTCCTGAGAGGAGGATAGTAGTAGGGAAAGGTTGAGAGCCAGTGCTCTAAGGTATTGCAAGTTGAGCAACCAAAATCGCTAGTCACTTCTCAGAACTTAGACCAATGTGAAAAATATTATCTGTGATAGCAATGTATTTTGGCTATTCTTATGTAACTTACTTATGCAATGAATTTTAATTATGATGCAACATCTGTTTCAATAAGACTCTGCTCCTATCCAGTTTTGTAGTTGAAATGATAGGCGGAAATAGGTGATTTGATGGAGGTCATGTGGGCAATATGCTAAATCCTGTTATAACTAAGGAGTCTCCTGTGCTGTGACCAGCAGATACACAGCCTCCCTCTCTTACTATTTTGGATAGATATTCTTACTAAATAAACAATGAAGGGTATATGAGTGCACACCAGGAAAAAAAATGTAAAACTTGCACAGGAAAGCAAATCTGTTTTTCTGTAGTACCAGAGTTTATCAACCGGCAGATCCACCAGGATACTTCGATGGACACGTATGGCCTATGTATCTGAAACATAAAAGGGAAATGGAAGAAAATAAAAATAATATCGGTATGGTATACATAATCTTTAAATATATAAAAATTATTAAAAGTAGTGAGTTTTGCAAATCAGTCTATTTTTCCAGAATTTTTTTGGCATTTATGGAGCAGTGTTAGATGCATTTATTGTCTGCTCATAGATAAGTGATCTTCATGCAAGAAAAGCTTGTAGAGATTACCCACATTTGTGAGTTATAGGAATAAACAAAAATGTATTGGTCACTTTCACTAGTGATTCCTAAACTCCATGTGACAAACCAGTTTGTGTGTGGTTAACTAGAAAAATTCTGGGGAGTTATATGGCTCATTGGGTTGATGCATTAGAATGTGGTTTACAATCCTGATTTAGATCTTAGATGGAATAAGTTTTTAATAGATTCCTCCAAGTTGTACACATTGCTAAGGCACTACACAGTCTGACATGAGACATGTCAGGATTTTGGGTGCTTTGGTGGAGCTATGTAGGGAAGTTTGCATAATGCCAAACTAATAATGCTGTTAGAGCCTGATCCTGCAACATGTAGAGCACTTCCTGCAAGGCGATGGGCATTGAGCACCTTCAGCTTGTTTTGAATGGCAGTTAGACATGCTCAACACTGTTCATGATCAGGCGTTAAATTCTTTTATTGATCAATATCATACTAAAGATTTATATTTATCGAAAAGGTTAATGGTGAAATTCACCCCCGTGGCAAGAGAGAGTGCAAGGCCCTGTGTATCGGGTGTATATAGAGCCTCTTACAGGCTCTCTACTTCGATGAACTGTGCCAAAATAAATGTGTGAATTAGCTGAAGCAGATGTTTCAAAATCAGTGGGCATGTGAGAGATGGGATGGGGGAGGGAATAGAAACTGCCTTTAAAAAAAAAAAAAAAAAAAAAAAAAGCCTTGAAGGATCATCTCAGAAATAGTTGTTCCTTTGGGTCACTTTCAAATGGATTATGCTGGAATTATGGGACACATAGTCATACATAATCTTTAGTTGGGGCCCTGTTAGAAGTAACCCCTCCTGACACTGATTTACAGATAAAATCATAGAACTGGAAGGGACCTCGAAAGGTAATCTAATCCAGTCCCCTGCACTTGTGGCAGGACTAAGTATTATCTAGACCATTCCTGACAGGTGTTTGTCTAACCTGCTCTTAAAAATCTCCAATGATGGAGACTCCACAACCTCCCTAGGCAATTTATTCCGGTGCTTAACCACCCTGACAGTTAGGAAGTTTTTCCTAATGTCCAACCTAAACCTCCCTTGCTGCAATTTAAGCCCATTGCTTCTTGTCTGATCCTCAGAGGTTAAGAACAACAATTTTTCTTCCTCCTCCTTGTAACAACCTTTTACATACTTGAAAACTGTTATGTCCCCTCTGTCTTCTCTTTTCCAGACTAAACAAACCCAATTTTTTCAGTCTTCTCTCATAGGTCATGTTTTCTAGACCTTTAATCATTTTTGTTGCTGTTCTGTGGATCTCTCCAATTTGTCCACATCCTTCCTGAAATGTGGTGCCCAGAACTGGACACAGTACTCCAGTTGAGACCTAATCAGCACAGAGTAGAGCGGAAGAATTACTTCTTGTGTCTTGCTTACAATACTCTCGCTAATACATCCCAGAATAATGTTTGCTTTTTTTGCAACAGCATTACATTGTTGACTCATATTTAGCTTGTGGTCCACGATGACCCCCAGATCCCTTTCCACAATACTCCTTCCTAAGCAGTCATTTCCCATTTTGTATGTGTGTAACTGATTGTTCCTTCCTAAAAGGAGTACTTTGCATTTGTCCATATTGAATTTCATCCTATTTACTTCAGACCATTTCTCCAGTTTGTTCAGATCATTTTGAATTTTAATCCTATCCTCCAAAGCACTTGCAACCCCTCCCAGCTTGGTATCGTCCGCAAATTTTATAAGTGTACTCTCTACACAATTATCTAAATTATGATGAAGATATTGAACAGAACCGGACCCAGAACTGATCCTTGAGGGACCCCATTTGTTATGCCCTTCCGGCATGACTGTGTACCATTGATAACTACTCTCTGGGAATGGTTTATTCCATTTTATTGCATCAAAGTATCTTTTTGCTTTTTTATTTAAAAAAGACAACAAAACTGGCTAGCTGTTATATTTGTTAAAGCTTGTTGTTTAAAAGTGGGGAAAAAAAACTTTTACTCTGTCTGTCGTATCGTTTTTTAACCCTTGGAGAATCTGCTTTCTTGTGTTCCTTTTTGGGAGTGCTGCTCTTTTCTCTTGAATGAGAGGCTGAATTATGGGACTTGGGTTTTTTTTTGTTTTTTAACTATGAAACTGAGTAGAAACCTATATCTTGTGCCCAGGGAGACTGCTTCCCCACTCTGTAGTTAGGAGATGCTGGACTATTTCCAGAAATCTGGATCTTTTATGGAAAACAGAAGAGGAGAATGAATGTAGGGTTCCAGAAAATGGAAGAATTTATTAAATAACCACCTGCAACATGTGTTCTTACTCAGCAATCTGAGAAAAAATCTGTTTGAAATGAAGCTAGTGGTGCCCAAAGCCCTGATAATTTAGGAACCCTGTGTGTACGATATTGTCCCCAGCAATCCCAGCCTTTCATTGTTGATCCTCTTGCCCTCTTAACGCTATGCTGAGGAATTGCCTAGCATTGTACTGGCTGAAGTGGGAGTGTTTCTTGTTCCTCAGAGGGTTCTCATCCATATACTGTCCAGAACAAACCCTGCTTAGTGTGAAATTTGACATGTTCAGATAACAGAGGGCTGCAGAAGGATGCTGAGAGACTCAAATCAGCATTCTCAAAATCTTTCAAATATTCTGTCTGGTGAAGATTTTATTATTATTATTTTTTTAATGACAGAATAAATGTCAGTCCTGCAAAAAGGAACAATGAAGGAGCCATATCCAACTTTTTCCTCCAGTCAGATCTACATTAGAATTTTTTTTGCTGGGATAGCAATGTCAGTTGGGAGTGTGACTTGGTTTTTCTTTTTGCAGTGTTTCTATACACTGGGGCTTTTGCAGGTAGACTATTATATTGACATAAGTGTTTTTGCTGGGATAAGCACTTTTTTGCCAGTTTAATAGGGTGCGTCCACACTAAGAGGATCTGCCAATATATCTATACTTTTCTAATATAGACCTGGACTTCATCAACCAATCCATATTTATAGTTGGGTAGGGAAAACAGTTTTGTCGTGTTTGTCATTATTTCCTTTAGGGATGGGGAAAGTAATAAAAGAGCATGCATAGCACAAAGAATCTGTCTTTGCCCCGCTCAAATACATAAATAAAGTAAGTATATAATATATATTTTTAACCTAAACAACCAGGAGTATTAGAGATTACAGCACGTTCATCATCGTATCCTCTTCCCATTAGGAGAGTTATTACAACCTAGCTGGAGGTCCTAAAGATTACATACATAGTGGGCCACAGAAGAATATTAATTTGCATTAACTCTCCACTTTCTGGTTGGCTGTACAAGTTCTGGCAGTAATGGTTTCCAACCTCCTTCACCGAGGGGCTTTCCCTTACAGGGGAAAATTTCTGCTGAATTTCTCAGCTTACCATAGAACTAAGATTTCTGTCCTTTTGGGACATGTATGGACTATGTATTTTTTTTTAAAAAAGAATCTGGTATTTTTGGGTGGATCGATCCCCTATTTATGGACTTCTATTTAAGTGATATTGGGAGAGGAAAGGAAGTATTCTTGATTTCTATTGTGATAGCACCTACAGACGCCATTTGGGATTTTGCTGGGTCCTATACAAATTTATAGGAAGTTATAGTTTAATTTAATTAGTAATATTGTGACCAACTTTTCTCTCCCCTTCTTTCTCAGTTTATTTGGATGGAACAAAATCTGAGGAAGACCTCTTTTCATATGTTTATAATGATATAGTACGGGAGCTAGAAACATGGAAAAAGTAAGTCATCTTATGGAAATTGGAACAGGATAAGGGAACTCATTAACAAAAATCTATGCCAATATTAAAGGATAATGTAAATACCTAGCATTTGACGTCCTGTGTTACAAACTCTTATGTTTTGTCTAAATAGGAAGCAAAAAGCTAAAAAAATAGAAGGGTAGCTGTGGTCTGAACCTTAGATCTAAAACACTTGGACTCTCTGGAACCATAGATTCCAAGTACACAAGTATTTGCTTAGCCCTTCATCCTTCTGTGGTATGCCAATAGAGCAGGGGTGGGCAAACTTTTTGGCCTGAGGGCCACATAGGGGAATAGAAATTGTATGGCGGGCCATGAATGCTCACAAAATTGGGGTTGGGGTGTGGGCTCTGGGGTGGGGCTGGGGATGAGGAATTTGGGGTGTAGGAGGGTGCTCTGGGCTTGGACCGAGGGGTTTGGAGAGCAGGAGGAGGATCAGGGCTGGGGAAGGGGTTTGGGGCATGGGGAGAGGCTCAGGGGTGCAGGCTCCGAGCAGCGCTTACCTCAAGTGGCTCCCAGAAGCAGTGGCATGTCCCTTTTCTGGCTCCTACGCAGAGGCGCGGCTAGGAGGCTCTGCATGCTACCCCATCCAGAGGCACTGCCCCTGCAGCTCCAATTGGAGCGCCGGAGGGGGCCATTGGAGCACATAGGAGCCGGAGTGGGGCCATGCAATGGCTTTTGGGAGCTGCGTGGTGCAGCCCCCGACCCAGCGCCCCGGCCGGAGTGCCAGAGCAGGGCCGAGCCATGTGCTGTGGCCCCGACCCAGCGCGCCAGAGCAGGGCTGAGTGGTGTGCTGCGGCCCCTGACACGGGGCTGAGCCGTGTGCTGCGGCCTGAGACCCAGCGGCCCAGACCCCATTCCCCAGCGGGAACTCGTGGGCAATCTGGCCCATGGGCTGTAGTTTGTCCACCCCTGCAATAGAATATACTAATCACTTACTATGGGTGGGCTTTAAAGTAAAACTTTAAAAACTGAACTCATGTTGGTGCTGCTTGGTCAGCGAAGACCTTATGGCACTCTGTTTAAGCTGGATTTTGACCAGGTTCTTTGACCCCACTGAAAGGCTGAGTTATTTTATCATTTTAGATCTCCTCTCTGCTCTCTCTTGTTGGTGCTTGCATGTTAGGAATAACCTTTTTACAGTGTTCCCCCAGATTCTCAAACATCTGCTTTTCCTAAGTGGAGCAATTAGGCCTGTGCATTTATTCATTAGAGAGAATAGGAAGGCTCTCGAATAATGATTTAAATATTGAAGAACCAGAACATTTAATAAATCTGGTTTTCCTAATCCCCTATTCCACACTATTTGGTTTGCAGTTTGGGGTGATTGTCTTCTCTCTACTGAATTCTCACAGTCATTAGAGGGAATTTTAGTTAACTCACCTTTTGTTTATTTAGATTAGGAAGCATACACACAGCTCTTCTTTTTTTTTTTCTTTTAAATTAAGCAGTAGTTAAATGAGTTGCAGCAGTAAGCTAACTGGAGTCTGTCAAAGAATATGTCCACTGGTTCTTAAAAAGAACTCTAGTGGAAGAATCAGTACATATTTATCTGAAAGAAAAAGCAAAGCTTGTGTCTTAATAGTTGATCCCACAAGTCTGGTCTTCCTACTGTGTATAACAGTGGCTCTCAAACTTTTTTACTGGTGACCCCTTTCACATAGCAAACCTCTGAGTGCAACCCCCCCTTATAAATTTAAAACACTTTTTTTATATATTTAATACCATTATACATGCTGGAGGCCAAGCGGGGTTTGGGGTGGAGGTTGACACCTCGCAACCCCCCATGTAATAACCTCACGACCCCCTGAGGGGTCCTGACCCCCAGTTTGAGAACCCCTGGTGTATAACATGTGCCATGCTTTTACTACCTCTTTGATACTAATGCAGTGTAGTGAATGTATAGATCTCGCTGGTCAGTCTATACATTTATTTTGTAACTCAAAATCCATTACAATTTGAATTTTAAATTAAATTTTGAAATACATCACTACATGATCTAGATAACTGGGTACAGAGTTGTGGCTGATCTTTACTATTAAAAATATATATAAAACAAGAGAGAGGGGGAATGAGGTAGCAAAACCCCAGCCAAACAAAACTCCTGGTTATGGTTTGTGCCAATACATAGCATTCATAAAAGGCATGCAGAGAAAGTCATCATAAATACCAGCTATTCACAGTGAAGCAGGTTAACATTAATTGAAAAATAAAAATTAAATGGAAAAATAATTAAAAATACAGTCAATGATATTGTGTATATGTGCCATATCCTCATGAATGAGAGAGATGTTTAGTATCTTAATGTAGATTATATACAAACTAAATGTAAACACTTGTTTTACAACTGCTTCAGATCTGGAACAGATAGATCAATTGCTGGATAACTTTGCAGAGTTAAGAGAGATATCTGAAAGTTTTTGAGAGAAAGTGGTAACATATTACTTTGAGCAAAAATATTGAGGTTTGACAAGATTTGAGCATACAGGGAAAGAATAACATATTTTGAGATTCAGGCAGGTGACAAGAATTGTGATAGACATATAGTAGATGCCATCTAATATCTGTGAACTGATATCTTTACTTTTATTTGTTTAAGGTGAGCAGGTCACAGCAAAACCATGTGAGAAGTTGGAATTCTTTCCAGTATGGATTCAGGGGCAATTTTATGGTGTCTGGATGGATCACTTTGCCAATCTATTGTATGTACATCAGTAACACCAGTTTATACAAATCCATATTGTACTGTAGTGACTGCTATTTCTGTTAGACTTATAATATTGATGAACAGTATAGGTCATCCAGTAGACTAGTGCAGTATTTTTAAAGTGATAGCCTTGCTCAGAGTGGCATCTGTAACCCTGTGACAAACTTTAAACCTGATTTAATATTTAATCCTGTAATATAAGGAATTTGAAAATTACTTTAATGTATGGAAATATAGCCCTGGATATTTCATAAATATACTTTCATAGGTATACGCTATGTGCACAATTTTATATGCAAGTAAAATATTTTTGGAATTGAAAATCACAAATGCAAAGTGATTGCACGTCAGTAATATAGGGAAAAATAGAAGTAATAGCTCATAAAATATTAAATATGAGTATTAAATGACATGATGTGGTTAAAGAGGCAAAAGCCATTTTGGGAGTATGTAAATAGAGGTATTGCACTTGAGACCAGAAACAGAATTCTTCCTTTTTCACATGGTGCTTGTTAGAATGCAGCTGGAGTATTGTGTATTGTTTGGGGCACTGTGGAAAGGATATAGATAATCTGAAGAGCAACTACTAGGCTATTAGAAAGAGTTGTAGGATAAGAAGAGAGGTTGGTAGTGGTTCAGATGTGTTAACAGTAACAGGATGAAAAACGTGCAGCCTGGAAAATAAGGTTTTGAGTTGTAAAAGATTCTGGCTGACAAATGCACAAAAGATGCTACAAAAGAGAAGGAAAGAATAAGATTCTCATTAATCATAAATGATTAATTAGAAATAAATGGAAAAAAAGGAATGTGATTAGAGAACAGAAAAATTATATGGTTTAGATCAGCTAAGGAATAGTACCAGCTTCTCAGTCATATAAAAATATATAAATACACACAGGGAGGATTTAAAACTATCTTTTGAGGATTGTCTAGATATCTTAATTCTACTCAAACCAAAGGTGCAAACCATATAACCTACTACAGGGTCCTTCCAGCCCTAAAAGTCTAGTATTGTTTACTTTCAGGCATTTTGGTAGCACAGAAATGTGTTTTTGTTCGGATATTTTTAGCCTGACGACTATAATATGGTAGCCATCTTGACTGTCTGATCATGAATGCAATATTAAGACTGTTAATAGTAAGCAGAAAATATATTCGTGGTGATCTACTAAAACAGAAGCAGTGTAAGTGTATGTAGAAATATGTTTAAGATGAAATACTTTCCAATGTGAATTTCTGTATCTCGATTTTATACAAAAAATAAAATACTCTAATTGTGTTTTCTCAAATGGCTTGTGAGAACAATAAATGGCTTTATATATAATATGTTTATTTTGCAGGGAGGTGTGCAGTCACATGATAGCAAAGCAAGTATGTATTAAAGTAGCTGATACTTGCCAGAAACTTCTTATTTTTGATGCTCAGAAATCCTAGATTCTATCTCTGGCTCTGGGGTATAAGTACTGTACTATAAGACAGATAAAACTGGGATTGTTACATTAGAGATTTGGGTTCTATTCCTAACTGTGGTTGGAGAAGGTAATATAGAAATGGGTATAACCTGTTAGTTAACTTTAAATCCTTAAGAGCAATGATCCTTGATACATCTATAGATTTGAGCTGTATTTTAAAGATATCTTTACAATACAATGTATTCTACCATAGATCAGTGGTTCTTAACCGGGGTTTGCGTATTCCTTGGGGTACGCAGAGATCTTTCCGGGGGTACACCAAATCACCTAGATATTTACCTCGTTTTACAACAGGCTACATAAAAAGAACTAGCGAAGTCAGTACAGACAACTAGTGAAACTTCATACAGACAATGACTTGTTTATACTGCTCTGTATACTGTAAACTGAAATGTAAGAACAATATTTATATTCCAATTGCTTTGATAATTACATGGTAAAAATGAGAATAAGCAATTTTTCAGTAATAGTGTTCTGTGACACTTTAGTTTTTGTGTCTGATTGTGTAAGCAAGTAGTTAAGTGAAGTGAAACTTGGGATACGCAAGACATTGCAGACTCCTGCAAGTGGTACAGTAGTGTGGAAAGGTTGAGGGCCACTAGTTTAGGGGAAAAAAGTATCTATCGCAGATAACCTTAACTGAGGTTGTAGTTATAAGGGAATCTGCCTTCTATTCTCAGATTTTCTCCGTCTGAGGGATCTTATTTAGACACCTCTACTCCTGCATATTCTTATATATTTTTAAAATATATCTATGCTATAGTAATATCCCAAAAGATATCATTTGTGTATCATTTACTATCATTTGTGTAACATGTAGTGTTTTGCTGTATTATTGCAGGAGCTCAAGTCCTATGGTGATAAAAAATAGTTAATATAAAATAGAACAAGTGGCCAGAAGCATTTTTCATTTTCATCTAAACTAGATGCTGGACTTTGCTGTGGCTACCCCTCGCCATCCTCATTACCACCTGTTATAATCATGACTCCTCCTTCCTCACACACTCTCTGCTCTTACTTTTTTTGTGTTATGGCCCATCCTTAGCACTCACCAGCTCCAGGACAGGACTCCCTCCTGCCCTCCAGTGCAATTAACAGCAACGTTGCCCTGGAGTTAAAAAGGAGCAGAGTCCAATAGTGTTATAGTGCCTATCACAATGTATGTGTTACTGAAATACAGATTTAAATGTTTTATTAGAGCTAATGTTTAAAAATTGTATAGTACAGAGGTTAAGAAAAGAGTGGCTGTAGATCTGGGTCTAGGGCTTAGATTATCCAACCAAGCTCTTTCCCAGGGCTTGGCCACTCCTAGTGAGAGGGGGAAATTGCCCCCTGGTGCCCTATTCCTTTACATTTAGGTATGGCATCTCTTCAAACATATTTTTCAAAGGAAAAATAGCCACCATTGACTCATCTTCCCCCTCCCCCCGTTACAAACTACTGCCCCTTTCCCTGCTGTCGCCTACCTCCCCCTGCCTGGGGCCGTGCTACACTCTCTGGCCAGTGAGCACGTCACTGCTGCAGCCAGGCTCCCCCCACGCCTCACTGCCAGGGCTGCACGGGACCCCCCCTCTGGTATCTATGCCACACGCTGAAGAAGCAGATTTGGATCCTGCCAGTAGAGGGGCGGGGTGACACCTCCCCCCCCCGCGCCAGTTCGTGGTTAGGCCCTTGACTCTTCTCTTCCCGCATTTTCTCACGATCACTCACTAGCTGGTAGGAGGGGTCGGACGGGCTCTTCTGCGGCTGCGCGGGCCGTGCCCGTTGCACATCGCCGTTGGAGGGCGGTGTCCTCGCGTCATATAAAGCAAGTACTCGAGGGGGGGGGCGCGTGCGCCTCTCTCTCGTGCCGGAAGCGGGCGGGGAAAGTGTTGGAGTTGTCGGCCGCGTGCGGCCTGTCCTGGAAGGCGCAGCTCCCGCTGCAGCCGCGGCCCGGAGGCGAGAAGGACACACCTCGGTCAGGGCGATGCTCCGGGGGCGCCGGCAGGGGGACTGGGAGGGGGATGGAGGGGAACAGCGGCCGTGGCGAGACCGGGCTGGCTGCGACGACGGGGAGGTGCCGTTCAGCAGCGAGCGGCTCAGGCGAAAGCAGCCGGAGCAGGGGACGGTGAGCAGGATGGAGGAGGAGGAGCGGCTGGAGGGGGAGCATTTCCGGAGAATCATCAACGCCTTCCGATACTACGGGTAACCGATACCCTGCTCCGCGGAAGACTAGAGACCCCTCCCCCCCAGGTTTCCTGAACCCGAGAGACCCCGACCCTGGCCGGCTCCCCCTGAGGCTGAGAGACGAGACCCCCCTACCCAACTCCCAGGCCGGGTCTTCCCCTGCCCTGACCCCGAGAAACCAGCCAGGTGGAGCCAGGAAATCACTGCCTATGTAACCTTTCTGCCCATTTCCTCCCATGCACCCCCGCCACCGGTGTGTGTGTGCGCTCCCCATCTCTCTCTCTCTTCCGCCCCCCCCCATGACAGTTTTCTAGTTTTTCTCTTATAACTGTGGAAATACAAAATTATTTAGCAGTGGAACTGAGTGCATGTACAGAAGTGATAGCAGGGCATGTTGGTCAAGCTGGTTCTTTGTTAGCTGGAGAAATACTTGAAGTGGTGTTGAAGGGTCTTCATATCTTCCCCTTAAGGCAAAGTTGCTTAATTAAGGGAGATGAAGTAAGCAGTACGTTTTTCTGTTTTTAAAATGAACCTGATTGAGTTTTGGATAATAAATGTAAAAGTACATAATTATTAATGAACATTTATTTTGGACTGTTGAGGTTGAACTTTACAGACTATGCAAACACTGCAAAAACCAGGCCGGTTAACAGCATTGTATTCAGTACTGACATTGAAGGATATAACTAACTTTGAGCTTGTTTTCCTACCAGAAAAGTGCTTTATGGTCCTTCAAAAAAATAATAAGCTGGAGTAGAAAGCCTCAAAAATAATTTTCTACCGAATGTGTAGAACAGAGGAGAACATCAATTAGTTTTAACCAAAAATAAATGATCTAGAGAAAGCAACTGTTTATAGCCATGCTTGTGACATTATCTTGGAAATCATGTATGTTCTGTCACTTTAGAACCTTTTAGCAAGTTTAAATACATGAAACAGAGTTGGGATGTTATGATTCACATTATATTTTTTATATTTCAATTGAAAACAGCTGGGGCCATTATAGTGCAATTGTCTCGTTTGGACAATGTTAGGTGCCATACACGATCTTTAAATTATAGGATCACCTCCTCTGCAATTCCTTTCAAAGAGCTTTAACCAGATTGAGTTGAAATGATCCCCATATTTAATAACTAGTATCAATAAAACATGTTTCAAATAGCTTTATTTTTATTAACCTTACAAGCTTATTGAAATTAAATGCTTGAATATAGAAATATTAAATGAGCGGTTTTAGATACCCATGTAAACTGTGAATGAAGTGAGTTCTAATTCAGAGGACTGAATGTCTGTATGACTGTTTTAGCAACCATTAAGAAAGGGATAGATGACAAGACAGAAAATATCCTAATGCGCATATATGTGTGTGTGTGTGTGTGTGTGTATGTATGTATGTATGTATGCATATATGTGTGTATGTATGTAAATAAAAACATAATCTATGGTATGCCTTGAATACTGCATGCAGTTCTCGTCGCCTCATCTCAAAAAAGATGCATTAGAAGTGGAAGAAGTATAGAGAAGGGCAACAAAATCATTAGGGGTATGGAACAGCTTCCCTGTGAGGAGAGATTAAAAAAATTGGGACTGTTCAGTTTAGAAGAGAGATACGATAGAGGTATCTAAAATCATGAATGGTGTGGAGAAAGAGAATAAGGACGTGTTGTTTATCCCTTCATGTAACACAAGAAATAGGGGTCACCCAGTGAAATTAATAGCTGCAGATTTGCACAACGCACAGTCAACCTGTGTAGCTTGTTGCCAGGAGATGTTGTGAAGGCCAAAAGTATAAGTGGGTTCAAAAATAATTAGATAAGTTCATGGAGGATAGGTGCATCAAGGGCTTTTAGACAAGATGGTCAGGGATGCAGCCACATGCTCCGGGTGTCCCTGAACCTCTGGCTGCCAGAAGCTGGGACTGGACGATGGGATGGATCACTCGATAAATTGCCCTCTTAAATTCATTCCCTCTGAAGCATCTGGCATCTGAAGCTGTTAGAAAACAGGATATTGGGCTAGGTGGACCATTAGTTTGACCCAGTATGTGCATTCTTATGTTCTTAAACTTGCTATAGAATATCCTTAAATTACATTGATTTGAAAATTGTGTACAGATTAGAATTTAAAATGAAAACAGCAACATTATCCTATGTAGTTACAATGAAATTTGTGTTCATCCTTAACTTTTCTGTTAACGAGTGATTCAAGGTAAAGAACTAAGGCCTCAATTGTGTAGTGATTTATCCACATACTTAATTTTCCATATTGTGAGTAGTTCTGTTGATTTCATTGGACTGTTCAGTGTGAAAAGGTAAGCATGTGGAGAAGTCTTTACAGAATCCGTACAGTGATATTAAAAGTGAAGTGAGTTCCTTGTATCTTATGCAGCATAGTATATACTCTTTTAATATTATTTTCTTTACTGTTTCAATGCACAGTTAAAAGCTTGATATTTTCAAACCGTTTATCCAATCAGTCTATTTCCGTGAATTTCTAATGGTATTAAAACCAATGTAGACTTTGGTTTGTGAACCAGTGCCATTGATGGTGATGCTAACATGCACAGATCTGGGAGTAGATAACCGCTTCATAATTTGCAGTCTAAAATAACCACATTCTCTATAAAATTCTTAGGAATTGAGGTTTTTTGGCTTGGTTAGAGGATTATTGTGAAATGAGATCTAAGCTTTTTGAGTAAAGATGGAGAAGTTATGATAGCGGTAATCTGGGGTATCTTCAAATGTGGGTTCTTTGCATTTATAGTTGAAGCTAAATACTGACAGACCTTAACTTTTTTATTTTCTAGAACTAATATGCATGAGCAAGTGAACAGAACAGAGAGACAGTTTAGATCCCTCCCAGCTAACCAACAAAACCTACTTCCTCAATTTCTTCTTCATCTGGACAAGATTCGGAAATGCATTGATCATAATCAAGAGATCCTACAGACCATTGTGAACGAGTGCAAACATATGTTTGAAAATAAAGAATATGGAGAAGATGTATGTAAAAATTGGACTCTTTTCATATTTCAGAAGTAAAAATTTCTGTACATTTGTTAGTTTTTTATATTTCTTTTTCTCACTTCAGATTTCCATTTCTTTTGTCCCTCCCCCCCCTTCCCTTATGAATTCATATTTGCTTAATTACCTTGCCCCCAACCTTTGCATGTCTTATAGGCCTGATGAATTATATTGTATAGTTTTTCAATAAAGGCATCTCTGGCTATTTTTTCTGTATAGAGGTACAGTTAATCACTCAGGAGAACAGTACTTGTCTGCTATGGCAAGTGTCAGTAAGTACTCTTAGTAACAGATCAGTATGATAGAACTCCAATGGAGTTCTAACTCTGCCCAAGTTATTTTTTTAAGGTTGACTTTTCACTTGGCTGCATTGATCATAAATAGTGTTTTTGTAGTACATTAGTTTACAACATTCTTAATCACCTATGTGTTTTAGGTAAATTAACTATTTGTGGTATTATAGTTCTGTACAATTTTATCATAATTTCCCCCCTACTTGATCTACCTTTTTTTAGTATGCCATATCTATTTTTTTAATGAAGTTTTACACTTATGAAGCTTAAGGGACTGGCAGTGACGGAAACTGAAGTCTTCTTTTTTTTTTTTTGTATCCATAGGCTGGGTACAGTTCTGGGCAGCTCCAGTGTGAGCTTCTCCATGCTGCCTCATCAATGACCTGGAGGGACCTCCCTCTCAGAGTGAGAGGTTGTTCGGTCTCCATACTAGCTCACCCCTTGTCCTTTCCTGAATAAGGACTACCAGTTGTGCTGAATTATGCTATATTATATATTGGTTTTGTGATGTGGACCCTGGTCTATTGAGGGCTGAGCTGATACCACCAAACTCATTTCATATATGACTGTAAGCTGGATTTGAGCCCTGGTCCCAGAGGTGAGAGGCGAGTGCTTTATCAACTAAACCACCCATATAGCTGCTACAGCATGTCTGTTTCAGTATTCAAAGCTAAGGTTGTTTGACGTCTTAAATTTCTGGATTTATTTTTTGTCTAACTTTTATTTGCCCTTTAATCAGGAAAATGGGAAGATTGTGCCAGCCTCAACGTTTGACATGGATAAATTAAAGTCCACTTTGAAACAGTTTGTAAGAGACTGGAGTGAAACGGGGAAACCTGAGAGAGATTCCTGCTACCAGCCAATCATTAATGAAATTGTAAAGAACTTTCCAAAAGAGAGATGGTAAATAGTGCTTTGTTTTTAAGATTTATTATAAGAGAAAATATATAGGTCTTCCACATTGCACACCACTTGTAAAAAGTTCGTAGAGAGTGGTTGGGGGAAAAAAAAGCTTGAATTTAAAAATATTTTAAAATAAGTGCAAATAGCGTTGGGTTAATTGTATATACAAAAAAATGCTTGAATGGTAGGGAAGTACAGTAGAATACAAAACGTTAAACCTAGAAATAATAAAACAGAATTAAGTATTGTCTCTCTGTGGGCCAATATTGATAGGTCTAAATATATTTTTATGTGAGTTCAAAAAGTTGTGATATGGTTAAGCCTAGTGATCCTACAGCAGCACAATACAAGGAATCAACAAGTTTGGCAGCTGCTATGAGTGCTGTGGTAGGATCCATGTCCACCTTACCTCAGCTCAAGAGGAGGCCATAGTATATGATCCCTTGAAGGGAAGGGGAAGTAAAATGTGGTTATCCTTGGTGAGAGAGGAAAGGAGTAAAAGGTTCCTATCACCCCTATTATAGCTTTATTACATTTGCAATCCTGTTTACAAATGTTTAGGCCCAATATTGATTTCAGACACAAGATACAATGCATCTTGTAACATTTTCATCTGTTTGTGTGTATATCTTGATAAGTCACTTGACAAAAAGTAAGGCATGTCTGTGTGTCTGAAGGTAGGATAAATGCTGATATGGTAACAACCTAAAAAGAGCAAATTTATTTATCAAAAGTAATATAGTAGTAAAAATGAGAAACAACAACAAAAACTACTCATTAATGAAATCCATGTCCTAAGAATATAAATGATTGTTACTTATTAAATCAGTGCAATTGTCATAAATATACATCATTTCACTTTTAAACTTAAAGAGGCTCTTTTAATGAGGGAAAACAGTGGCCAGCACTGACACTTATGTTTTAATTTCATTTGTGAGTGAACTTGGTGTTTATAAAAGTGAGGACTGATAGCTCTGGCTAGAGCCTAAGCTTGCTACAGCCAATAGCTTCCTCATACAGTACAAACAGTTCACCTCCAACCTGGCCTATAAATACTCCTTGCTACCTGTCATTTGGTTTTCCGCAGTAGATGCTGCCGACCATTACAGACAGCAAAGTGTTTTTGATGCGGTCAAACATCCAAGCTACAGAGATCAGCAAATTTTTTTGGTTTGACTTGTCTTGAGGTGAAATGTTACTGCATCACTTAGCCCAGTGGTTCTCAACCAGGAGTACACATATTCAACTCCTCTAGATCAGTGTTTCTCAACCTGGAGGTTGCAGCCCCTAGGGGAATCACAGGATGGGTTTAAAGGTATCGCAAGTGCAGGGCCAGCGTTAGGGGGTGGCAAGCAGGGAAGTTGCCTGGGGCCCCATGCCACAGGGGGCCCCAGGAAACTAAGTTACATGCTGCAGCCCCTGCTGCCTGTGGCTCAGGCTTCAGACAAGGCTCAGACGTGAAAAACAGGCTCAAGTATCACACTGAAATGTAGGTACAATGTTTATATTCCAATTACTTTATTTTATAATTATATGGTAAAAATTAGAAAGTAAGAAATGTTTCAATAATAGTGTGCTGTGACACTTTTTAGTAGTTTTATGTCTGATTTTGTAAGCAAGTAGTTTTTAAGTGAGATGAAACTTGGGATACACAAGACAAATCAGACTCCTGAAAGGGGTACAGTAGTCTGGAAAGTTTGAGAACCACTGACTTAGCCCACTAAGATTTCATTGGAGGATGAGATTTGTATAGCACTTTCAAAAATATAACTTGAATACTCTTCCCTTGTTAGATACAAGGCATTCAGGAATGTCTTCTCTTATAGAAAAGGTACAGTAAGTTTAGTTTTTATACATTTAAGTAAAGTTATCTTCTGTTTAGACATTTTCATAAGTGATAAAAATAGAAAGTCGCCCTTTGTTGCGGATATTTATGCATTATTATATCGTTCTAAATTTCATAGGTATATTAGTGCAGTTCCAGCATCAATATTGTCAGTGGCTTTTTCTTGTGAAATGTGAGCCTCTGTGTAAGACAAATCTTTGCCTTAAAGGCTAACAAGTTTTTTTATATTTGGCTTTATGGAATCCCTCTTTTAGTTTTGCTTTGTAGGCAGGCTACGCTGGTGTGTCACTCCCAAAACCACTTGCAGTTCCTGTGCTGAATTTGCAATGGCAACTCTGAGGCAATTTTCCAAATGAAAGCCAAATTGGATGAAATGTGGAGAATATTTATTAAGCTTTTCACTTCCGATATCTTAAGTGCACTGTGCCTACCAGGAAAAATGATGTAAAAGAAAATGTAAATCTTTTTTTGACTTGTAACTGAAAGCAGTTACTTATGAATCCATGTATGTTAAATTTGGTAAATAGTGAAAAACATTTGCTTAAAAAATATTTTAAAACTTTTTATTCATTCTGTACTTCGAGAAAGAGCTTTAATTTTGGGGAAGATACAATGTGTTCTTCATTCATAATGCAACTTAAGTCTCTGTTTCAAATGCAGAACTCACCCAAACCTTAACTGTGGAGCCATGACTAATGTTTTTATGTCAAATGGCTTTGATAGAGAGGAAAATATGTAACTGTGAAGAAACCATATTCAGAATAAACTGCTTAGTAGAATAAAATAACTAGCTGACCATAGTTTTGAAATACAATAAAGATATGGACTTGAGCCCAAAAACTGAGGTAGGAGAATTTTTTTACTTTAGAATTCTGAATCCTAATTTTTTCCTTTATGTGGCTCTTTGCCTCTACCTCTTCAGGTTATGGGAGCAAGTTAGTATCTTCTTGCTTTCCCACCTATGTTTGGCTAGCAAATCATGACTTCTCTTTAGATGTGGACCTTGCCATAGTTATAATAGCTTTGTCTCATTGGATTACTGTAATGTGCTCTACAAAAAGCTGCACCTGGAGACCACTCAGACTGTAGATAATGCAGAATAGCAATGCCTATCTGACCAGGCTTTTTGCCTGAGGGCATATTTAGAGGACAGTGAAGTTAAAGAAAGATGGAAAACATCTTTTATTGGCATTGAGCCAGGTAGTAAAATTGTTCCTGATGATTTTAAAATGGTATATGTGTAAAAGCAGTTCTGAGTAAATTTTTCAAGTCTAGATTTTTTCCTCATTTCTTACGAGACTAGCTGGATATAAGTATTTATAAAATGTTTATGGTGCAAGTTTATTATTTGTTCACCGTGTTTAGAAACAGATATGTAGACTTTTCAGACTAAAGCCTATCTTGAACTATGAGTTAGAAAAAGCTGTTATTCCTGATAACTTTTTCCAACAAGACATGTTGGATAAGACTCTCCAAAGTGCTGAATGCCCTTAGCACTCTTCAAAATTCAATCCAATGTATACTTTTAGCACAGTATGTGAAACAATAAGCTTCAATTTTCTCCAAGTATCTTAATTTTGTTTGGCTTTTCCTAAGGCAGAAGTGCTCTGTGAATTGGATTAATCATATTGTGTTTGAACTGTAAGTGATTCAGGTTTTATACATATTCTGAGTGAGTGTGAACAGATGCACTAAATAAATTCATAAATAAAGAAATTGGATCAGCCACTGCAAGTTAATTGAAATTTCTGTACAGATGTGTCTTCAATGCAGAGCTGAAGGAGGGATCGTATTCAACTAATTTTAAGAGTAATGGTCTTAACGTTAAAAATTAACCCTCAGAACTCAGGTTAAAATTTTCAAAAATTTTAATCTGGCCGTGGAAAAGCTAGCTGTGTTTCAAGGTCTTAACACTGTATGCCTGAAGTGGTAAAAGTCAAAACCTTTGATTTGTGATCAACAAACTCGAGTCAAACTTTACACTTGCATGTAGGAAGCAATATCCTGGCATAGATTGACTTCAGTTGACAACTGTACATGCTGGTTTTAAGGGTTATTTCTTTTAACTTACCAGACAAAATATTTGATATCACTTCCATCCCAGTATCTATATTACCAAGATATTTGTTCTAAAATACTGTTTGGATGTCTGGCATTTGTTTTTAGTCCCTTTAGCTGTCACTATAAATAATCTAACCATTGGTTCAGTTTAGGCCACTCAGTCATATCTCAGTTACACTTCAGCTGAGTTTCTGTGAAATAAAAGCACAAACATCTTTTCTATGTTTTAATACTATACGTGGGATTTCTTTAATGCATACTATAGTAATTTAAAAGAATTTGCTATGTTTAAATGCTCAATGATGGAAATGTGAGTGGTGCTTACATAATACATTTATTTCTCTCTTTAGTATATCATGTCTATGCTTATATCCAGGTTGGTTTATTTGCTAGAATCTGGAAGCCCTCTGGCTTCAGAATATCATGCCTCTTTGGGGCAACAGATGCAGTACAGAGTAGTACCCAGTTTGTACGTTCATCTATTTTTGGAGTTTACTAGCAGTGTTCTCTTCCCAACATCCTTGCCCACTCTGTAGAAAAATAAACTTGTATGGCAAAAAAGGATATTACTAACCTGGTTTCTCTTTTTGGATGTTGGTGGGGAACAGCTGATTCCCTTCACAGGAGGCATCAAGTTGTTAAGATATGGAAAGGAATGCAAGGTGCCCCATCTGAGCAGAGTGCAGTGTTTAAGGTACTCTTGCTGTTTAATTTGGGGGCAGATGGTGTTTCCCCTTCCTCCCATCAGAGTTGGTTATAGAAGGTTGGGGACTGGGAATCTTAGAGATGTTGGAAGCTGAAAATTAAAATTTGTTTATCTTTGCTTCTAATGGGAAAAGCAGCCACGGGATCTTGTGATCATACCAATGGGTAAAACTTCTGGCTAGACGTAGAAAATGGGACTGTTATCTAACTATATACAGAGTTAATAACTCTTAAACTTTCAAGCATGGCCATGTGTCCTCCTGGAATTCTCTTTTATGGTGGTCTGCTCTAAGTGCACTTTCAGGATAAAACTCTCTGGTATGAACGTGACCTCTCACCTAGAAAATTATATTTAAGGAATGGTTTCAGAGTGGTAGCCTTGCTAGTC